GGCTGTAGCTGAAAATGAACATTTGAGACCATAGGCTGTTGAGTGTGGGCATCATGGGATATGGATACCCCCCCCAACCCTACTCTGCATACAGTGACTCACAGGGCAGCTTCACCTGAAATTCAGCATCCTTTCTCTGTAACATGACCTATAGCTCACCAGGCCCTACTGTACTCCACATGGTTTGGGTGGGGTAGCCCCTGGGGGCCATCCAGAGCCAGCTGTATGAGCCAGACACGACCACTTAGCACCTTCCTTATCTTTAGTCAGAGCTGGTTCAGAAGTGGGTACACCACAGAAGTTACCTGTCCTAGGGTATTCCAGGAGCTACCTGGAAAGATTGTCTTTTTTCTTCCATCCAGGCTAGACCTGTGGGGTGTAGACACACAGCAGTGGGCTTTATCCTGTGATTACTCCAGCCTGTCTAAGAGTAAAGCTGTCACAGAGGAGCACAGCCCCCCAGATGGAAAGAGAGACTCCTAGGTCCAGCCATTCCTAAAACCTATATCTTTCTCCCTGGACATTGTATCTATACAAATCAACAAATCTTGTGCTCAGGTCAGTTCAGGCTGGTGTTTGTGCTCAGAGCCAGGAAATTAGCTGCATAGTCAGTCAACCTGGTGTAGAAAACCTGCAGATTCACCTGCACACAAGAGCCAACAGCAAGAATTCCGCAGAGACAGAAAATCAGGGCCAAAGTGAGTTCAGGAACGAAGGCTCCCAGGCAGTCAAAGTACTCTTGGGGACCTGAGGGCTGGGGCTGGGCAGATCAGACTGGCCTCCAGGCCTCAAGCGTCAGGAAAACCTTAGTGGACTCCAGCAGGGCCTGAGGTTTTTGAGGTCTGGATGAGGGTTTGTGGTCTGGGTACTCCAGATTAGCTTAATCAATCTCTCTCTCTTTTTTGAGACAGAATCTTGCTATGTTTCCCAGGCTGGAGTGCAGAGGCTGTTCCCAGGCATGACCATGGTGCACTACCATAGTGCCCAGGAGTTAACCATCCCCACCTTGCAGCCCAGGGGACAAGCTCCAAGAGAAGACAGGAGGCAGAGCCAGGAGGAAACTGTGCCTGTGAGTGGGGCACAGGGGAGGCAGCAGGTGTGTGTGTCCTGTCTGCAGCTGTAGGCTCTGCCCCTGCCCCCCGCACAGCCCAGGGGCAGTGGAGTCAGACTTCAAGGTTTACCCTCTGGTGGCTCCTTGGGTAAATTATTTTCCCTCTCTGAGTTTTTGAGAACCAGTGTGAAGAGTAAACAAACCAGAGTGGGAATGGTGGGAAACTGAGAAAATAAATTATACAAGAGACATCCATTACACAAGAGACAAAGACCGGACTGGGATTGGAAGGTCTGGCACAGTTGATCACTGGAGCCAGCACCCAGCCATTTAGGTTCTATTTATATAGTGCCTAAACAAGGTTGCTTATATTAACAATGTTGCAAATCAGCAAGGAAAGCCAGTGGGAATATTTTTGTTTTGCAAGGCTGAGGGGAAGTAACTGGGTAAGTAAAAGGAGTTTTATCATAAACAATATTCTTAAGGATGTGAATCTTGGCTCCGCGCCTATAGCTCAGCTGGCTAGGGCGCCAGCCACGTACACCTAAGGTGGCGGGTTCGAATCCCCAGCCCAGACCCGCCAAACAACAACGGCTGCAACCAAAAAAAAATAGCCGGGCGTTGTGG